AATCTAGAAATGGCGCAGTCCAGAAATGTTTTTATTTTTAGAATAGAGAAATGAAAAACTTGAATTAAAAATGAGAAATTAAGAAGCTATTAATAAATTAAATGATAAAGCTGATTTACAAACTTTTTTATCTTACATATTTATATAAACAAAAAAAAATTATAAATAAAAATATAATTGTTCTAAAAATTTTCTTGCCTTATGCCGCAGAAAATTGATCAGCAAATACATAAAGAAAGGAATTTAGGACCAATTTTTCACAAAGACCATAAAATGAAATTCAAATAAATAAATTTCAAAAATCCTATAAATGTAGAATTAGAATTTTGAAAATGTTAAAAGAAAATAAAAAGAAACCATCACAAGAAAAACCAAAAACAAATAATGTGTAAAAGAACAAGGAAGAAGACGTCGTTAGGAGGAGGATACGTTGAAATTAATTACAAATCCTCTTCCATACGAAAATTATCATCCAGAATTAGCTGATGAACCATTACTATATATTTCTTAATTTGAACAGTTCACCCAAAAATTCTGGACCTCCCTAAAGCAAGAAAAAAGGTCCATAGAGAGTAAAACTGTTAATGAAATTTTCCAAAAATGAAAACTTGCCCATAATATAGAGAAAAAATTCCTTAAAACTAATCCGCAATGGAGGAACAAAAATTTTAACACAAAACATTGCAAGAACCTCCTTTTGAACATCAGTTCGAAACAATGAAAAAACCGTTCTGAAAAGAATCTGAGATGCTCAGGGCTGCCAGTTTGGCCTCTTTGGTAAAAACTAAAAACTGTAGTCAAGAAAAACCATCTCCCAAAAGGTGAATTTAATGCTCTTATCACGTATGATATTTGTTGCCGGAACATAATGTTTAGAGGAACAATTCTGGGAAGTGAGCTTCCGTGAAATCGAGTTACCATCTTCACTTGGTAAACAGGCTGGAAGCCAAACAAGAATCAGTTATTGTTCAGATTAGGGAAAGTGACGTTTCCTTTCATGTGACGATTGCCTTTCTGTGTTGTATTTTGTGTCACTCTCACTCTTTTCATTTTAAACTTTATTGTTAGCTATGGAAAATAATAGAAAGGTAATGTCTATTAAGTAAATCACTTTTATCTCGACTCTAGCGATTCTAAAAGCTAAAGAGATAAAACATGCAAAGAGAAGTCTTATTCTTTGTAATGATCTGTTGTATATATTTGATTTTATTATTGTAAATAGTTATTTTTGTATCCATATATTTATTTAATAATTTTTATGTACATGATATAATGCCATTTACTGATATTTGTTTTGTGATGAGTCAAAAATTTTTATTTTATCCCTGAAATGTTAAATATTTCATAAAGCCTACTTGCTCAATTTTTTTGTTTAAATTCCCAAGTATAGTTACAAAAGCAAAGGTTGTGTGTAAGTGGATGAATTTTAATGACTAGCCTAATGCACAAAATGCACTTCAATTATTTTTCAACTGTGTATTCTATATCCATGATGATGTGCAAAGAACTGATGACTACAGTTGCTGACAATTACATAATCATTATTTGAATTACAAGTTTCAAATAAACTTTTTGGCAATGTTCACTTTTGCATTCATATATCTTATATATATGCGGCTTAAGTGTTTGTCGCCGATAGTTTATTGGTAATTTATTGGCTTGTGTAATTGTAAATTCTTTTATTCCTCGTGCAGTGCAGCGCATGATGGATATTATGAGAAAGCTAAGCTGGAAAAATTAAAAATACAAGAGCATGTGCATTTAACATTTAATAAATAAATTTAACATCTCTATATAATAGAATTCGGAAATATGCAACCGGCAACAATGAAAAAGAAATAAAATGAAATAAATAAATATCTTTATTATATGCGGCTTAAATGTCTATTTGTCGCCAATAGTTTATAGTTTATTGGTTGCTTGCGTAACTGTACTAGCCAATGGGGTAAAGTTGCCACAGCACAGTGTTGCTATTTCAATTGAGACGTAGACAATTTCCTGTAAAACTTGCCTTTGCTATGACCATCAATAAGTCTCAGGCCCAAATGCTTAAGCGTGTTGGCATTTTTTTACCTGAGCCTGCATTTAGACACGGTCAACTCTGTTGCCTGTTAAAGAGTTCGTGAAGATGGACATAAAGTTAATAATAATTTATGGTCCTCTGCAAGGCGAGCTTAAAAATGTTGGAAAGATCTACACAAGAAATGTTGTGTACAAAGAGATCTTTGACATGTGAATTAACATTTTATTTTTTAAATCGCCTTTATTTATTGAGTTAGCGGTGGCTCTTAAGAAATATACCACCAGTGGTTTTTTTCATTGCACTCTACTTTAAGCAATTAAGTAAGTAGAAGGGGGAAACCCCGTGGGGCAGTAAGCAAAGGGGCGTCCTCGCCGCCTGCCCTGGGTAATTCAGTTTGAATTAGCAGACACTTTTGCACAAATCATTTTAATTACAATTTATAATATCTAGAACAGCAGTCATTTCTTATGACCACTGAGCTTTCTAGTATATATCTATATACACACACACACATCTAATAAGTCATATATTCCCTAGTACCATTTATTTGGAAATATCTTTGCCTAGTGCACTTTAATGCCATTTACTGGCGAAAACTGTGTAGTACTGTGTGTTCATTATACCTACGCTAAATATAAGGTTGTTTTTTTACGGTTTTGATTGTCACATTAGCGTGTTTCTCTTCTAGTCTAGTTTAGTTAATGATTTGAAGTCCAATCCAGTCCTTCCTAATGCCTTTAAAATTCTACTATCTTAATTCAATTATTTTTGCCGATAGATGGCGTTACCTCCTCGCACTTGGTACTACCAGAGGGTATAAAAATCCGTTCAGTGGTTGCTTTCCATTATTTGAAGTTCAGATTTTGAGCGTAATGTGCATTTGCCCCTCGCTCCCTATTTTAACTTTGCTAATATTTCTTTATGCTTGATCAGACAGCCTGGCTCAGTAAAAGTAGGCGGCCAGTGCAACTCTGATTAAAAATCTAGTTATAACCACGTGCAGTGCTGATAAGCACCACGTGTTTCTGTGATTCCTATTTTCTTGTTTCTATGTATTTCTTTCTCCTGATGAGGAGGGACCTTTAGCTGCCCTCGAAATCGATTGAGTGTTTCATTATACCTACGCTAAATATAAGGTTGTTTTTTACGATTTTGACTGTGTAGTAGTTAGTGACCAGAAAAAAGTAAGTCATAAGTATGTCATATATTTATCTACACATAGCGAGAGAGATGCGATGGTTTAGAAGCTGTTCATGTATGTTTATTAGTATTATTAATGTAATGAATAAGATTTTTATTAATGAATGTATATACAAATGTTTTTCATCATTCATAATAATAAATTCATAAGTTTCCAATGTTTCAATATGTAGCATTTTTAATACAAATTTAGTTCTTAATGTGTTTATAATTTAAAATGCATTTCATTAATAACATGAAGATAATAGCATACAAATTTAATGTGTAGCCTCATTATTAAATAATCTGTGCTTTCCTTAATAAACGCGCCTTTTATGTTGTTTACAGTAATGCACTGATTATGCAATTTCAATTTAAAAGTAATAAAAGTAATTAGTAGAAAAGTAAAGTCGCGCATATACAAACATATTTTTAAAAATTATTCCCCTTAATAAAATAAATTCTATTATATAACAATAACATTCTTTTCACACGATCAATCCGAAATACAACAAATTTGGCGAACTTTTGGTGACGAATAATCTGTAAACAAATCATCAAAAATAGCACATCATCACTGAACTCATGATAAAATATTGTCTACTCTGAAATTTCCATGATTATAAATTTAATGACTATATAAACATTTAAAAATGACTTAGACAGTTATACTACAAGAAAGGCGCAACATGTCTTGGCTATGAGCAACATTTTTCTCTTTCCATATTTCTTTAGTTAAATTGGCATCTATTTCCACTGTCCATGATTTCACAACGAGAGCTATCACTATATTGAAAATTACAGTGATCTTTTAGAAGCAAAACTTTAGTCTGATTAGTTGAACATACACGGAACAAGACATGTTGCACCTAGCTAGACGAAACATTTTTCGGAAGCCTCCCATCAGTACTACTAGAATCTTGTTTCTCAGAAATGTCCCGCCTAGCCACGTGCATTGATAAAAGTGATAAAGGTTAAATGCAACAAAGCAAAGAATTTCAAAGTCCAAAGAAAAACTGTAATTCAAAAAAAGTACTAACACTTTAAAATGTAAACTAAGCAGAGGACAAAGAATTATCCCCAATTGTAAAAAATATTAAATACTTCCAAATTAAAACCTAAATTTGAATTAAAAAATTTCATTTAAAATGTTGAAAAAATTGTAATAAAAATTGCATTAAAAATGAAGATATAGAATAAAGGAAAACAGATAAAAAGTGAGAACATTGTAATTAATATACAAAATTCCAAATATGTAATATGCTTTAAAAATTGCCAGATACACAAATGGTAGTCAGTCAAATGGTCAAATGGTACACAAATGGTTTGCATTTAAAAACTAATGTAAAAATTGCTTAGATATTTCAAATGGTGAATTTAATGATATTTAGAAAAATTTACAATAGGGCTTAGTAAAATAATAAAATTGATGAAAGCCTTTTTACAAAGCACAAAAGTGAAACAAGTTGAATACTTCTGCATCAGCGGCTACTTGGTGAATTATGTAGAGAGACTGATGTTATTTAATAGTAATAGTTGTAGATAAGAGTGTGGCTCAGAATTCCACATGAATGACTAGCACAATTTTAGTGGGATCTCTGCCAACTTTTATGGTCGATTGGATGATATGTAGGTACCTAAATAAGTATAATTTCTTAATTTTAATTATTCATTTCTTTGTCTTCTTTAATTTTTTTAAGTATGCTTATTAATTTTATTTTCAAAAGTTGTATTACTATGCATATGGCCTTTTTTGCATTATACATTACTTTTTTTTTTATTTTTGTTATGTGCTTAGGTACATAGTGAGCTTTTTGCTTGATTCCTCTGCTGGGTTGCTGATAATTTTCATTGGCATCCGACTCACACAGCATGTATCTAGGAAAAGAGGCTGGGATCATTTGGTTTTTGGAGAATATGGTAAACATTTTACAGCTTATTATTTCATTTCAAAATAAGTGAAATAAGATTTCATTTATATATATATATAAAATAAGAAGAAGAAAAATAAAATCTGAAAGGAACCAGACTTTAATGTCACAACAGAGCATTTGTTGAAGTTTTTTATGCTCTTGATGAGCTGGCAGGCTGCCAGTCTGCTCTTGGGCTCACTTCTGCTAACACCTTTTTAGCTTTGCTATAAAGCTTTTTTTTTTACCCACGTATGCCACATACAGTTCAACAGCAAAATCGCAAAAGTTTTAAAAGCAGCATATATTTAGAATTCCTGTTAAGTATTTGTATGCATTTTTCTATTTTCTCAGCCTTTTCTTAGTTTGTAGAAGTTTTCTTATAAGACGGCTTACGAAATGTTTTTTTTTTTTTTTATTAACATTTTGCATGTTAAACATTCTTTATTAAATATCACGTTTAACAGCCAAATGACAAAATTTTTCAAACAGCATAGTGTTACAAAATGTACAGGCGCGGTAAGATGGCTTCCCCGCAAAGCAAGTTTAGGGCTGCCATAAAATGGCAAGGAAAGACAGGGTTGCCACATTTGGCGACAAAATTGGCTATTTGCCATGGACGGATGGAGAACCTTCTGGAACGAATTCTTACCGGTTTAGCCCAGAATGTTCTCGAACACAATCCGAAAGCTATATAAACCCTGCTGGTCCGCAGTCAGTCAGTGTGTGTGCCTCGTCTAGCGAGTTGATAGTCAGTCATTGAGTGAGTGTCACGAAGTCTAGAACTGAGTTGGTCGTGAATGCATCGAGAGAGTCTTTTAGTGCATCGACGAGTTTTGTCTTAGACTGTGCTGAGTCGAGAGCTATACGCTTGTGTATCGTCGAGTTGCATTGTGTGGAGAGTCTCGAGGGTATGTGGAGTTCCGAGAACGACCAAGCAGAGTTGGGAGCTGTACTCTGGTGCTTTGCAGTGAAGCTGTCTCCACCATTAGGGCCTGACAGTGTGAAGGCTGTGTCGCTGAACGTGTCAGCGTGTTTATAACAGTTCGACAACTGTGAAAGTGATTTTGGAGCTTTCCTGATTAATACTGGCCAATAAAGTGTGTTTTGATACTTCATCCAGTGTCATCGTTATTCACTCCAAATCTATGAACCCCGTACAAACGTGAAAGAAGAAAACAATGTAACAACTAGTGTCAGGAGTGGGGTTTGCGAGTGAATGCCAGTGACCCGCTTGCAGAAAAAAGCCATGGCGGAGGAAACAAAGACTTTGATGGATGTCCTAGCCAAGATAAAAGCCGGAGATGAAGGCTGAAATGAAAGCCGGACTGGCTGAGATAAAAGCCGGATATGATGAGATAAAAGCTGGATATGAAGATATGACAGCTGAGATCAAAGCCAGACTGACAGAGATGTAAGCGGGACTGGAAGAGAAGAAAACCCGACGAGAAGAAATAAATGTTGGCCAAGAAAATGTGCGAGAGCAACTCCGACAGTTGAAAGTGGAGTTTACAAAAGAAACTGGAGCTATAAAAGACGATGTGCAAATGAGAGAAGTGGTGTCTGAAGAAACAAAGGATGACGAAATGAAAGAAGTAGCTAATGAACTGCCTGAGAAAGATCAAGAAATGATGGATGAAACATCTAGCAGGATTAAAGGAAAAGAACGAACACATGAAGAAATAAAAGTCGGGAAAGAAGCTAATTCCCAAATGACTGAAGTGGAAGAAAGTGAAAATGCGATTGTTAAGTTCGTCGAAACTGATAGAGAAGTTATGAAAACACAGTCAGCAAGTGTTGAACCATCTGAAAGTGCATATGATGCAGAGGTGGAAAAAGCTGATGTACAGTTTACTCAGAGTGCTCCAGTATTGCAAGAAAATCCACCCACTTCACAAACTATATGTGCGTCTCATAGTGCAGACAAGGACTTGATTCTAAACCTAGATACTTGTGTTTGTGAAGAATCGGGTTCCATTCGCGACTCTAATGCAAACATCGGCACTAGTTTTCAGGAAATAGAGGAGAATGAGCATGTATCAAATGCTGAAAATATCGAGGTTAACTGTACGCATGCTGCAAATGAATTACAGAGTGTTGAACAAACTGTTTCAGATCTTCCTGTGGATGAAAAGTCTGAAAGGACTGAATCTTCAGACTGTGATATGCGAAAAGAAATACATCTGAAAACTGCAGTGGAAAAGTATTTGACGCGGGTATATTTTGATGAAAAGACTGAGACTGAAATTCATTCTTAACTTTAATTTGTATAATTTAAAAGTGTGATGTGTTTAATTTGAGTATGTAACTTGTACATAGTGTAAGTATTTGCTTCTCATTTTTAGGGGTACCCATAATTCTTGCGCATGAGATTTCTTACCTAGTTTCTGTATAAAGTTTGTACGAGGGCTATCCAGAAAGTAGATTACGTTTTGGAATAAAAAAATAAACAAAGTATAGGAAACAAATTTTATTATATACAGATGAAAGCCACACTCAAATACTACTTTTCTACATAGTCACCATACAAATTAAGGCATTTATCGTAGCGATGTACGAGCTTGGAAATTCCTTCGTCGAAAAAATTCGGCCCCGCCTGCGCCTTCGCCTTCAACCACTTCGTTACCTCTTCTTGCCCTTCCATCTTGCACAAAAACTTGTGGTAACCAAGCTTTTCGCTGATGATTTCGTGCAACAAACTTCGCGAAATTTGTGGAAAACTCAAAGAAAGTTCCGTTATTGTGAAATTTCGATTTTCACGGACTTTAGCATCGACTTTTTCGAGAAGTTCGGCGGTCACTATGCTGGGTCTCCCACTTCGATCTTCGTCGTGAACATTGGTTCGGCCATTTTGAAATCTTATGACCCACTGACGCACTCCACCTTCAGTGATAATGTTGTCCCCATACACTTCACGAAGCTGCCGATAGATTTCTATCGGTTTACAGTTTTTTTGCAGTCAGAAACCTTATTACTGAGCGCAGCTCGCGGGATTTTCAATTAACGCAGACATTTCAAACCGTCACAGTATCTGAACGGAGCACAGCAGCACGAACCTCTCACTAGCACGGCTAGATGCAGACTGAGCTGCGCAACGCTCTGACCCCAAGATGGCCGCGCTAGCCCCGCCCCTAGCGGACACAGACGGAAACGTAATCTACTTCCTGGATGGCCCTCGTATGTAATATAAATGTCTGTTTCTTTAGTTATATTTACCTGTATGTTCTTAAAACATTTGTATTGTATCGGATTTGGCTGATTTAGTTTTATAGTTTCATTAAAAATAATATATAGCGATAACATTTGGTGGCAGAAATTTGAAAAGTGATTCCTACATAAAAGTGTTACAGGCAAAAAGTGAATTTCGAGTCTAATAGAAACTCTGATACTAAAAAACACTACATGAGATTTATGTGATAGAAAAAATTGTCCAGGCTTTTGATAGTGGTAATAACCAGGGCTGTAGAGTCAGTGGGGAAACTGACCAACTCTGATTCTGACTACTGAAATTTTAAACATAACTCTGACTCCTTCATGTATATGTAAACATATACACATGTGTTACAGCTTATTTTTTTTTAATATAAAAGAAATAATAGAAACTACAGAAGAAAAAATTTTGATGCCATAGCTTATTATTTATATTAATTATCATTTATTATGAAAGGGGAAAAATGACATTAGAAATTTCTAAAAAACTGCATAGCTTCAGCAAGATCTTCTTTGATAGAGGAACATAGATCCGATTTGAGAAACCATAGAGCTGAGAATAGTCTTTCCACAGTAATGCAAGTAGGAGAAAAAGCTGTTACTGTTAGGGTACTTCTTTTAACTTCTCAGGATAAATTTGTATAAGTTCTAAAACAGGTGTATTGCAGGAGTTTATATTTCTAAATTTCTTGAAGGGCTCTGTAGAAATCTTGTTTATATATATATATATATTATTTTTATATCTAGAGGCTCTTGGTTCTTTGTTTTCAATTGCTTTGCCTTGAGCCTTTTCAATATTATTGAAATAATTCTCAAAATTTAATTCATCATTGAAGATGATGATAGAGACTCAGTTGAAATGTCTGCAGTGTGCCTTTCTTGATTTGAGTACTCCCATTGTTCTGAGAATAATTTCATTCTTAGCGAAAGTTCATAGATGGCTTTCTTTGCCTTTTTAATTTGTTCGTCATCCAACAAAATTTGGCATTTTAGATCTAAATATATTGAATACAGCAAGATCTCATTGTCTATCAAAGTAGTTTCTTTTTTCTTCATTGAAGAAATGATTTCTTCTGCAATAAGCCTTCCCATTGTAGAAAGAACAAACATCACATTCTTCCATTCTCGCAGAAACAAGCTGGCTGTTAATTCTTCAGATTGTGGCCTTTTTGTAGCTATATACAGTGTAGAAAGAAGAGTTTCCAATTCTGCAAGATCATTCCACAGTCTTTCTGTTAGTGAAACATTAGGGTTATCTATATCTTCTAAAAAAGTTCTTAATTTTAACGACCTCTTTATCATAACAACAACCCCATCACATTGCTTGATCGGTAATTGCTCCTTTTCCTGCTTCCCTCATATGAATGGCATAAGTTGTGGGAGTTCTTGTGGCTAATGCTTCCTGCTTTGAGATCTGTAGCATGAAGTTCCTTCAACCCATCTGTAACAGCAAGCTGCAAGGTGTGGACTGTGCAATGCATCTGCTTGATCTGGCACAGTTTCGATGCTTCTTGAGCAACTTTATCTAAAGCTTCATATGAATGTTCCTGAGAAGTTTCAATATTTAAAGTAGTCCTATTTTCATCTATTGTAACAATTTCTTCATGTTCATTCATCTTAAATTTGGTGACTGAACATGCATTTTGCAGCCATGGCTTCCTTTTTCTTATTGTGAATGATGCTACAATAATACCATCTATGAGCTGAAGAAGTAACTAAATGAAACAGTTTAATGAATAATGGCAAATATCACATATATCATCCTACCTTTTATTTATTTATTAATATGTCAATAAAATG